CAGCGGATAAGGATTACAAAACGTACTGCACTATCCACCGGATAGAGATTTTTCCAGTGGAAAGCATTATCCACCCTACCGTTTGCCATGGAGATTCCATTTTCCATTTCAAGGCTTGCTTGGTAACACCGTCCAGATTTTTCCTCAAGGTGTGACTACTTCCTCCGACTGATTTGTTTTAATTGGCTTCTGACCTTATTTTTCCATAGTTCCATGTTTGTTTTCCTGTCTGCCCATCATAATTTCAGAATTCTTCTCAAGCACTTATTGATACATGATTGCAACTTGTTACTTTTTAAACCAGGCATATTTTCATCATGACACTTTCCATATCGTAATAAATGCAATTTTGGTCACCAGCTTGAAGAGGAATCAGTTCTCCAATTTGACACTGACTTTCCTTATTGTAATCTGAAAAGCAATTTTGGTCGCCAGCTTGAAGAAGAATCAGTTCTCCTTTTTGAAGGAGAATTTATTTGAATGCCAGAAACAGATTTTATTCTTTGAATACACTTTTCCCGTAAACGTTTTACTGTTATTTACATTGCAGAACTTTTACTTCAAAACATTTAATGCGAGTAGCTTAGCAAGTTACTTATAAGTTCTTATTTTTGTGGAGAGATATAAACAAAGAACACCAGCGTCTTGCTACTCGATTGATTTGTGGATCAGTCAAATCTTACTCTGAAAGGCTAACTGAACTTAACTGGTCAACATTGGAGCTAAGAAGAAAATATCTTTGCTTGGTTCAGCTTTACAAGATAATTCATGGCTATTGTGATGTGGACTATACTAGATATATTTATCTGACTGGCCCGACCAGAAATAGAAGGAACCATGATTTTAAAATCAGACCTAGCGCGGCAAGGATAAACTATTTTAAATTCTCATTTTTAACCGTTATGTTAATGACTGGAACTCGTTACCTAATTCTGTTACGTCGGCTCTCAGTTTATATGTCTTTAAAAATCGATTATTTAATTATCTTTGTACTTAGTTATTTTGTATCATTTACTATAAATTACTGTATTTAGATTTTATTGTATCCTTTATTATAATTTATTATATTTAGATTTTATCGTCAAGACATAGTAGTTCCTCCGTTTTCTTTCTTATCTAGATATGTGGTTATGCATTAGACATTTCTTTTTATTTTGTTATCTTCTAACTTGGAGAGCAGTTTTTACATGGGAATTCAGTTTCCCCCTATTGCTTTCCTTTTACCTTCTGTACCTTTTTATTGTTTATTATTCTTGTACAGTGGTAAAAAGCATTATTAAACTTAAACTTAAACTATAGTACAGTATTTTTAAGCTGCACTCTGTCGCGACAGAGTATTCCAGCAAAGTGCCATGGGTCAATCGCTGTAACTGGATTAGGATAAAGGAGTGGTAAAATGAAATCTAAGGTTTAAAACCTGGGTGTTAAATTTGTACTAATACCG